AATATAAATAAATATTATAAAAATAATTGTAATCGTTTAAAATAACTTGTTTAGATGATTTTAAATTGATATCTAATCTTGGTCACACTGAACTTTTAAAATTGATATACTACACTTATTGATTAAAAAGATTATTTTTTTATCTAATATTCAAATTAAGTTAAACCCAAGAATAATACATACAAATATTTAACATTACAAATAAAATATATTATACTTAACTTAAAAAGCTGAATGATAGTGATTTAATTTAAAAATAAATAAACACATAAATGCATATTTTATCAATTTTTTTATTGATTAGTAAGAGAATATTTTAGAATTTTTTAGTTAACATTTTAAACTTTTAAGAACCTAAAAATCTATTCTCTACTAATTATATAATACTATATTACATAATTCGTAACAAATTATATTTATTTCCTCGTGACGTTATTGAAAAATCTATTGTTTAGTTATGAGCAGCATCATAGCGTATTATGTTTTACGGTAAATGATGTAAAGTGGTAAATGTTGTAAACGTAAACATTTCCCGCTAGTTGACGTCAATTACAAGTTTAGTTGGAAAATGATATTCAATTCGTTTATATCGGCAAAAACGACATTCAAGAATATCCAATGATAAATGTATATGCAATAAAGTTTTATTTGTTAAAAATATCACGACGGAAGTAGATAGACGAGCGAAAATCCTACTAGCTATAACCCAAGTAATAATATGAATGGTTTATTAGTTTATTAGTTGGTATCTCCGCTTAAATTCTGTCAAGTTGTGTGTGCGACTAGTACATTTTTTATAATCATTTGTATTTATAAGTTGTTTTATTTGTAAACTGTTTAAATAAAATTTTAATTAAATTGTAGCATTATAGTTTTATTTTATTACATATATAGTATTAAGAAAAATTTAGAGCAGCAATCGAAAAAAATATAAACATTAACGAGAGAGAGGCGACAATATATGAATTTATAAGTGTTGAAATCATGACAATGAAGGAAAGTCGGAGATTAAAAATGAATTAAAAAATACTAAAAATATTAATAAATATTAAATATTATTTGTGTTTAATTGACAAAAAAGTAACTATCTTTTTTAAAGGTAAAATTATTGAAAAAACAAAGACTAACGGTAAAAATCGGTTATTTGTTTCGAAAACCAAACGTTAAAAATATTATGGTTGACTAACGAAAAATTCTCAAAGCTCAAAGCTGGTAAATTTTATTCGTGTCTTAATACCAAATGTGTAATTTATTTGTAGTTATTGTTTTGTATGAAAACGACCTATATAAATTATATAAGATAATTTTAATTTGATAATATTTATTTAATTTTAAATAATATAAGTACCTGTCAAATGTTTGAATCAGGTTCAGAATATGGTGTATTGAAACGTAAATTTCTCCATAAAACAAAAAACTTATATAACTAGATGAAAACATGGAAAAAATTAAAGATAGGATAATAACTAATAACAATAACTCTACGTGAGACTGCAGGACAAGGAACAGCTGGCTATTAGGGCTTCAATCGACGCAACTGTAACACTGATTGTAACGCTAAAAATATTTTTGTAATGCAGCGGAAATTTTGTGTAGTTTTAAATGCCATGGTAATCTTAATTACACCAATAAATAATTATTTATACTGTGCACCTATTTTATTAATTTAAATTAACCCAATTTTTTATTAGATTAAGTAATAAGACAATCAAATTAATAAAAATAACAATTAATGTTTCATTTGAGATTTATCATTATAGACCACCAATCTTAGTAAATAATCTAATTGACCTAGAAATGACGTCATTCACCGTAATTTATACAAATTATAAATATGACGTGTTTTGAGAGAAAATTTGTATTTCAATTTCGACGATGCGTATACACTGTGACAGGTAGTGATCGACGATCACGAAATCCTTAAGTACGTATATATAAATATAACCGAAACCAATATTTGGCGTGCGTACGTAGGTATATAGCAATTTCGCGGTATGTAAATTGTATACATCGATGCCGCGTTATTAAACTTATTAATAATTCAAAACATTTTCGTGCGCCAAATATTTTTAATATGCATTCGTTTTGGAGCAAGAGGGGGATGTAAGATACACAAATTACAATTATTATCGTTACCATTACAGTTATGATGGTAAATATAACTTACACATTATAGAAAATATGTATGTAAAAATCTAATTCTAGTTATTCGGTTTGACTAAAACAAATGTGGTTACAAATATGATATCATCCAAGATTTGTGATTTTAAAAATCGATTAGGGGTTTTCATATCACTATATACAGAGTTGGGTCGAGGATAAAAAAAAAGTCGAAAATCACCCGGAAATTGCAAATATAATGTGATACATGATAAATAAAACTTTTTCAGCGCGTAACGATTAAGAATAATATAACATATGATATCAAAAATTTGAACAAGATTGATGCATCATCAATAATTATTTAATATAGAAAAATTCGTACCAATATTATAAAATATAAGCTATGATGAAAAGCCTCACTACGTTCACATAAATCATTACGAAAGACACAAGGAGTGATAATTCCTAACGGAATATTATTCGTTATAATTGTATATTTATTTAAAGTAGGTATGTTAATAAATTGGAAAATCGAATAATCAAATGCGAATATTATTTAAATGCAGTTTTTTTTTTAGTGTAATATAAAAAGACAATATTATGTAATAAATATCGTGTTAAAAAAGAAGCTATTATTCATGATATAATATACACTATAAAAAAAATGCACCAAAATATTCAAACTACATCCTGAACTAAAGTAACTATAGTTAGTGTAGTATGTATATATACATACGACTTTCCAATTAATTAACACAATATTCGCGAGTGTAGAACAAGTTGCTTAAGACGTGTGCAGTTTGTTGCATAATAAAATGTAGCTTATGTATCTATCGACGAACTCTGCAGTATTATGCGTATTTACATATAGTTTTACATTTTTAGTTTTTACCTACATGGAGATGGAGAAATTCATTTTAAACAGATATTAAAAGCGTATGACGTGGTTTTTTTTACTCATTATACACTCGAGAATTGACTTTCGAGGGCAAAGCCACCTCCTCCCACCACTTGGAGAAAAATTAAATTATACTGTAGTATTATTCATGCGCTTTAGATATATATATAAGATATATTTACGTTTACGTTATAGGTATCTATATGAGATATATCGTACGTTTGCCGATATAATAATATAGTCGACGCATTTATATATAATGTTAAAAAGAAAACAGCGAACGGCTTTGTTTACCCTCGTTCGGCGATATTGCAAGGTGAGGGGTGGTCGTGCGAGGGAGGCGGGGAAAACGTTGGCGGCTGACAACAAAGCCATCGCCAACTCTACTTCCCGTAATGTTCGGTAGATACCTGTGTTTATTATAAACAAACATCGCATAGCAGTGTAATCCAAATTTAATAGGGTATTTTTTTTCTTTTACCAAACCTATAAAATAAACACAATATTATATTATTGAATACATATTTATGTACTATATATGTCGTATAAATTTGTGAGTTTTTAATAATGTCCGTGAACGAGAAAAAAACCGCGAACGACAAAACAAATAATAACACTAGGACTCTCGGTGAGTTTTTATATTTTTCATTTCTTCATAGTACCTACGTCTACCATATCATTACTAATATTTCTAAATTAATAATAATACATCATCGTGTCACAATTGCGAATTGGCACTAAATAAATCTAGGTTTAAGTATAGTCGATAATAAAATAATTTTTTTTTTCAATTTCAGTCTGTCATTCGTGTCACATCGACTAAAAATACTTCCTCGTGTACATACCAATTGCCAAATCTTCTAACTCCGATTGACTTCGACCTGACCTCACCAGATAAAATAACAATTTATCGTTAACATTTTCAACGGAATAGAAAATCTATGTAAATCGCCGTACATGGTCTGTACATTAGCGTTATAAATTGTCAGCGCGAAAAGCATTAGATACGACCTATACCTACTAGGTGTCCAATCATTTTGGAAACTCTTAATGACTCCTTTAACTCATAATCCATATGGAACAATAACACATCACACTGCTGTATGTTTATAACGTAAAATATATAATAACCTCATTAATTATATTATCATATCAGTCCCAATTATTAGTCTACCGACCGTTACTAAACTTACTGCAAATCCTGCCATATTACGGTTAATGGCGACCAGAAAGTTTGGCCTACCCATAAACGCGTTATATTAAACAAATCGCGAGTGACAGTCTAGTCCGGCCATTCAAAACGATAAAGAGCTTACAAATACAATATTACGTGAGTATTGAATAAACAATAGGTATATCGACCAAAAAGATATAACGACCAATTTACCGGCCATCACCGCCACTGGGAAAGCTAAGAAGTATACATGGGACAGGTGGGTAATAATATTATTGTTACCTAGGTATATTAATTATTAAATGTCATTACAACGCCGATATTATAACTTGGTTTAATTTTAATTATTATCATTATTTAATTTACAGTAAATGATACATTCGTATTTATATCATAATATATTATATTATACATTCTAAAATAAACGATAATATAATATAATAATGCGTGCGCGTACAATACTACACTTTAAATAAATATATATTATAATACAGTCGTATTATTTTTTATTCGTTTCACTAAACCTTGTACGAACACAGTCTAACGTCGCAAAGAAAATAATATACTCAATGTACCTACACAATATTATATAATATTATATACCTATACGTATGCAACACTAATCCTAAAGCGAACCACCGTTCGTTTAATAAAATAATAATAATAATAATAATACCTAAACAAACACGAGAAAAAAAAACAGACAAATGATGATTCCGATATAATTCGTCGATGGGTATTTTACAGTAAAATTTGTTCACAGTCACGTCGGAAAACGAAAAAAAAAAAATTGAATACAAAACACGAAACCTACAAAATTTACAATATTAAAATCGAAACGATTTCTACTGTTATAATATTATATGAACATTATATAATAACACATAAATTATTCTTATTGCACTTTAAAGTCGTCGGCTACACAGGGCGTTATCAGGATATCGTTATAATATTATTATCGTTCATTTTCGTTCAGGTCATTTGTAATACTGTCGTCGTCCCTCTGTCCGGTCATCGTCGTCGTCGTTACCGTTCTCTTCCTCTTCCGCCGTCGCGCCGTTTTGACGACGAAAACGACGTCGGAGCCCGTTCAGGCGCTCCGCTGCAGCTTGTGTCAGTTGTTGTTGTTGTTGTTGTTGTTTATGTTGTTGTTGTACCACATGGTCAGCGGCGGTAAGTTTTTCACGACGGCGGCAGAGGCGGCGGCGGCGGCGGTGTTAGTGCATCCGGACGCGCCGCCGTTACCATCGGGCGACGCGGACGACGACGTGACCGCCGCCGCGGAAGTAATCGTCGTCGTCGTAAGGGCGGTCGTGGCCACCGCCGTCGAAGCCGCTACCGCTGCCGCCGCCGCCGCCCCCGGGTTACCGCCCCCGCCCGCCGATTTGTACGCTTTGGGCTTCCGGTGGTAAATGCTCTTGTGGTTGTTGAGACTGTTGAGCGTGCGGAACACTTTGTTGCACACGTTGCAGACGGCCGAGTGCAGAGGCTGGTTGTGCTGCTGTTCGATGTGCCGCTTCAACGTCAACCTGGTGCTCAGGCGCTTGCCGCATACGAAACAGGACAGCGTCTCCGCGCCCCCGCCGCCAACTCCTCCGCCACCAGCCTCTGACCAGTCTGCAGCACAATAATAACAGCCGGTCACTCCTTTTGTATTTTTTTTTCTCCATTTATATATTATATTATATTATGTATTACTATATATGCCGTATAGGTAGGTAGATAAACTGCATGTATCGGGTGCGATTCTTTTACCGGAGGAACACTCATTATTTTAAAAACTTTAAAAGTTTTTTTTTTTACACGACTTTAGGCCGTTTACATGACAACACGACAATATTTTTTAAAAAAAATTATAATTTTTATCAGTAACATATTTTTAAGTTTCTAACTTTTTTAAATAACAACGCGTATACATTCTTAGCTTCGTAATCAGAAGCAAAATGTTATTTGAAGTACTTCATTATATACAAATTCAATTTCGGACTAATAGTTAATAAGCTATAAGTATTTAAAGTTTTCATGAACGGAGTGGTGGACATTTTGCGGAGCACTTCTATGCTACTCGGCTCCGACCGTCTAACTTTTAAATAATTATAAGATTATAAAATATTCGTCCAAAATTCAATTTTCATATTTCAAAGTACCTACTCAAAAATGCTTTCAGAATGATAAATTAAAAATGTAATTTATTATTAAAAAGAGGAAATAAATTTAAAAAAAAAAACAGTAAAATTAAAGTAATAACTACCGAAAATTGTGTTAATGAGTATACTCGAAAATAGTAATAGTTTTTAAAGCAACGAGTGTTCTTCGCTAAAGAATCCATATATATCTATATTAATTATATATCGCGTTTATTTTAAGGTATGTAAATTATATATATATATATATATATTTATATAAATATATATGTATACGTTTTACATAAATACATGCATTTATGTATTATAAATATTATATAAGTGATAAATAAATATGTATTATAATATCATAGATTATATTATTATATATTATTTAGTATTTGATAAACGTTAAAAAAATGTTATTTTATAAAAAAACCAAGTATTTTGTCATTGCCATATGAAGTGTACATAAAATTTTCTTTCGTTATTTACTTCGTTTTATTGTTCCGAAAAAAAGAGATAAACAGATTGGTAAAGTGATATAGACGGAGAGAGAGAGAAGAGAGAAAGATTGAAAGATAAATAGGGGAGATAGTGAGAGAGTAAGAGATAGAGGGAGGGTAGTTTTCTTTTTAACGTATACATAAATATACTTTGAATAAAAAAAAACAATAACAAATATAAGTTTAAGTTTTTTGACAGATCACAGTAGTAAATATAGTATTATAATAATTATGACTATTACATCAGTTGCTGGTATAAAAAATATATATATAAATACATGACGAGGCTAATCTATATATCTGATACACCAAACAAATTAAATTAAGACACTCGACCGATTATTGCCGTTTTCTATATTTATAGATCTAAAACGGTATATATAGCCATATAAGTAACAATATCGTATACATATATATAGGCATGACAGTTTGCACACTCGGTAATAATATATAAGTATACAACAGTACATGGCTACGTAAAAATTGTGTTCATACAAATCGCGCACGCACGTCTTTTCTTAAATAAAACAATTAAAATGTAAATAAAAAATCTCGTTTAAAAACATGTGAGAATCAAGTGAATACACATAATGTCTATGATATTATTAAACAGACGTCTTCGTTTTCAACGTTTTATCTGAAATATCATCGCAAGTAGTACGAAAAATTAACTAAACGCATTATAAGTGAATAATTTATTGTACGCCAGAAGATCCGCCGAACGTTAATCACACGGTAAATTATGTAGACGAGTAGCGGGATTAAGGTGATTTTTATTTTATTTTTTTAAAATTTTCGTCGATTTTTCAAGAGTCGTTAGGTCAACGATCTTTTTTTTTGATACGCGTGTGTGCTTCGCCAACAGCAGTTTCATAGGAAGTGTGTGTTGTTGGCCGGCAACCATATGAGTTCGAAATAGACAAAAATAAATACCGGAATTGCCACTATATACTCGTAGTTCGTTAGTTTGGCCAACAAGTCTACCGTGTATAGGTACATAATATAAATATATAAATTAATATACTGTTACATTGAGCCGAGCTCACCTTTCCACTTTTTTATTTTTTTTATTTCGATCAAAGTGTAAAAATGAATATTATACTTAGACTCGCAAACAGGTTTCCAATTTTCACATGGCGCAACACACAACAACGTTTTAAAAATTTAACTTAACTTCAAGGCACGAGAACTATTTTGAATGTAGCTATACTTGAATAATGTCATTGCTGTCATCGTCGATCGTTATGTATAAAAAGAAATTTTAGAAACTATAATTAAAACATTTTAAGGAGTAGATCCGCCCATATAACTGCACGTGTGTTTGTTGCAAGTAAGAAGAACAACTTTATTTACTGTTCACTTATTAAAAACGAATTAATTTTGCCATTAAATAATTAAAAAATAATCGATAGTTATATTTTTAAGGAACTATGTATACGTATTGAAATATAATTGTCGAACTTGTACGGTATAGTAATTGTTATTGTCACAATGATACTCGCATGCGGAGCACAGGAAAATTACGCTTAAAGTTAAAAGTTTTTCTTGAGTTGACATTATATAAAATAGGTACATCGATTCGTCATAAAACTGCTGTAAAAGTGGATTCGAGCAACATTTTCACGATGGACGAATTTATGTATTAAGAAGAAATAATTCTGATTTATATTAAAACATTCGTCAAAAATCTTTTTTACGTTAGTTCGCTTAAACCCGTCGTGTTTTGACGAATAATTCTATCTATACCTATAATTATACCTTTAAAGGTATACAATATCCATTTACTATTTTAGTTAATAAATTTCCGATAATTTTAGTATCCAAAGTATTATGGAAGTATTATAAGTTTAATTGATATTTGCCAAACGATTTGTTTTAAAGAGATGTTAGTAAAAAAAAAAAAACGGTATTTTGTTAACCCACTATACATTTTTATATCAATTCTTACCAAATTTTATTATATTATAGGTATACAAACGTGTATTACGTGTAGGTATATTATATAATATTTTTATACATACAATTGGGATACAATTACGATGAACACAATGAGTTTTCATGAGAGGGCTGTGTAGTATATCATTTAAAGCCCGATGATAAAAAACGAATAAGTACTATCTGTTGAGTTTATCTAGAAAAGTTATAAAAGCCGATGGGATTGAAATTATGTAATATGTATTTATATATAAACGAGTATATAAGTGCGGCAATATAGAGTACATAATTATATGTAGAATGTCACGTTTTAAGACATCTTCACCATTTCTTACTCTGATGTGCGAGGTTATAAAAATAATAGTAAAAATAAAAGTAATAATTGAAGTCCTATAACGTCGATGCATCATTCTAATAATTGGTTTGAACAACAATTTTTCATTACGTTACAGCCGTTTCGCCCAAAAAGACGCAATCTTCTTTATTAATAGCATTTATATTACATCATTATTTGATAACACATGATTTACCTAATTTTTGTCATATCACAGACTTAAAGTAATTAACAGGAATCAGATGGAGTATTTTAGAATAAGATGAATGATATGTTATTGTGGAGTAGTGTATCATTTTTCCGTTACGTATAATTGAACATACACAATTTCACGGAGGTGAGAGAGTGACGAGAAGCGAACAAGCGTTAAACTGAAAATAAAAATATGCACTCAACACAAACTTATCATAACTCTATAGTCTTAGCCTAGCCTACCAATAATACGCGTATATCATATTTGTAAATACAAGATACAACCGACCGTGAAACAGCGTACCAAGAATTTTAAAAAGTCCATTTGTAAGTTAACAGATGAATTACATACAGTTATTAAAACGAGCCAATACAGTAAGTATAATAGCAAATCGATAGTAAATGTATATACAAAAAATATATATTATTCTTACCTTGAGAACTGGAGCCTCCTAGAGCCTCCATCACGTTGGTATGGTTGTGATTGTTGAGACCTGTAATAAACAGAAACGAAACCGGTACATTAATATCATGCAAAATAAATTTAAAAACAAAAATTAATACGATGTATTTTTATTTTGAATTTAGCTGCCTACCTATTAATTATACAATACTCTAGATCATACAACATGATATCACCGCCTCGTTACACGATCGTTTTGGGCCCGAAGAGAAGGAACTTTGATTTCGCGTAGGGGAATAAACGTATGTTATGTATTTTATTATAGAAGCGCATACCTGTATCATTTTAACAAGGAGATCGAATGCCTTCAACAAACCGGTGATCGGGGGCGGACGTCGACGATATTTATAACAATACCTATATCATAATTTATAATATTATAGCTATACATAGTTTAACGTCGGGGACTACTAATTATTGCTCAATTATTGTTGCCGACCGATTAAATGTATCGTAGTTTAGTGAAATATTCAAGATTTCAATCAAAAAGAAGAATTTGATACGTTTCATTAGTATATCGCACAATATGTAACTATAGGTACTTGAACGATCGACATTGAACCAATATACATCAATACACTTCAATTTCTTCCTTCAATCTTAAATAAATAGTACACTAGCTTATCGTTAAAACGATGATGGCTACAATGATACATTTCGGCGGGCGGCGCAGGATTTTTGGGGCGAAAGGAGCTGATGACGTCCGATAATAATGTTTTAAATTATAACTTATAATATTATACATGTGTCATGTAAGAAGACACGCCGTCAATCAATTGTGTAAAACATCAAATGACTGAGTAGTAGTGACAGTCGATCATACCACGTGATACACTAATAATAATAATTATTATTATTTTACTGTGCCGATGTTCGCGTTTCATCTGTGATATACCTTTTACCTCTCATATCGTATACCTACCCATCTATTACAACGGCTTTTGGTGACTTATCCGGCTGCGTTCTTGTATTCGATATAATAGAATGTATATTTAGCATAATACACGAAAGTTGGTCGCAGCAACGACGTATTATATTATTATAATAATATCATATTATTCGCAAGTGTATATTATGTATATACATTATAAATAGGTGCGCTCGCAGGTATAGACATATTATAGTGTTATAGTATTAGTATAGTATTAGTGTATACCCATATCCACAATCCATATACGCGTAATCTGACAAAGTAATATATAAATCCGGTTCTTAAAAATATAAAAAAAATAAAAACGTATTTATGGCCCAATCGTAGGTTATAGATACTACTTATACAATATTATATATATATGTTATATATACATGTAATACTGATTGCAACCGTCCGCACTACATAAGATTGACCACGCCGTGGCCCACACGAATGTATGGAAATATAGGTGTAACTTGTCTAATACGCACACGCGCGCCACTAGAAAAGTTAAATAGGATAAATTTTATATTTGGCGGCGACGGTTACCACCTCCTACCAATGTGCCTATATATTAATATATTATATTATGTACTACACACACTGGTCACTGCCGTAAGTACACGTCGTCTCATTGTGAACGGGCAAATTTTCACCTACGGAATTTCAGGAAACCGGTTAGGCGGCAATTCGTGTATTCAGTGATGTGTAAAAATAGCACACGAGCGTCTGGCGTCACGAAATTTTGCACGAAAATTGGCAACGGTCTAATAATAGAGGGAGAGAGGGAGAAAGAAATGTCTGGCATACTATTAATGATAAAGACAATCTAAAGGCCCGTCATTTGTGAGGGGTGGAGCATTTCGCAGCTATATTTTTTTATATAACGCTTTCATTTACCTGCAAAATTAATCCAAAATAGCCGATATGTTTTTAATCTATTACATTGAATTGGTATTTTGAGTTTTTACTGTTTTAATATATTTTTGCTGAGGAACAACTACCGTTGATGCTAAACTTGAATAACGATCGGCTATTAAGAGAGTATCAAAAACTATAATATAGGTACTTATTTGATATTGTAAAGGAACAAATGTTTAATAAAAGATTATTGAAATAATATATGGTTGTCGTTCGCAAAAATAACAACCATGGGTCATGAACTACAAAAATCGAAGAGATTGATAACTTTCATCAGAAAGTCAAAAAACGAAAGTCAATAATTCGTGTGGTCGTTTAAATTTATATGGTCTCTAGATAATTATTTTAAAAACACGATTAACAAATATTTTGGGCGCCGGCGACGACTATAAAAACCAAAACGGCGTGCCCGAATCATGTAGTGTACGTAATATGTATATAATTAACAGTATATTAAAAATCGCATGTTGTACTTGCCCGCTAACGAGTCGGCGGCCATGGCGGCAGCCATGCTGAAGTTGAACGAGGCGCCGGCGGCCGCGAAGAACTTGCTGTCCAGGTACGAGTGGTGGCTCTGGTATGACGTGTCGTCTGGTTCGGACATGCCGATGGCCGGGTGGACGCCCGTGAAATCGGCCGCTGAGTCGTTGCTGTCGTCCGCGTACACGCTGTTACTGTTGATGGCGGTCGCGGGCGCGGTATCCATCGGCTCGGTTTTGACTTCGGCGGGCGACCGACGGGATATCATCAGGTTCTGCGCAGTGTCCTGCAGGTGTTGTAGGGCGTTGGCCGGCGGTTGCTGCTGCTGGTGTTGTTGGTGCGTCCGCGAATAGTCCATCGGAGGTTCGTCGTGGTGCTGTTGTTGTTGATTATGGTGGTGGAGATGGTGGTTGTGCGATTGGTGTCCGTTGCTGTGGCCGTTGCTTCCGACCACGGTTCCGCCGCCGCCGTCTGAACGTTCGCCCGCGTCATCGTCATCGTTGCAGTTGGGCCGACTTCCTGCCGAGCTGGGACTGTGTTGAGATGTCCTCTCGGACAGGTCCATGCCTCCACCGCCACCCGAAGGCGGGTTTGACGAAGTCTTGTTGTTGCGTTTCAACGGTATCGGAGAGTTTTCCTGCGGCAAAATGAATACGAAATTATTTATTACCTAATAATATCTTATTATTATTGTATTATTATTTATTACAACAGTATAACCAGAGTCTGAATAATTACAAGAATTATGTTTTTAATATACAAAACAATAAAAAGTATCAAAGACCTTAATCTAGGCTAATGTGAAATAACAAAAATATTTCCATAAAGCTGTAGGGGGGGTCGGTGTTCATTAACAAGACGCATTATACTATACGGTGAATAGGATTGTTACGAGCGTAGTATATTATGTAGTGAAACTGTTGAAAAGGAAACTTGATGTCGTGAGGGTGGACCTTGAAATTTACTTGAGAAAGGAAGAATAGTACAACCAAAGAATCATTTATTGAGTAAGTTCAACAATTTTGAGTTTGTGGACGTTATATTCAATCTGATAACGTATAGTTGACGTTAGGTACCATTAAACATAACAATAGTCGTACTGAGAGTTTTCTCTTACTCTGCATGAAACAATATATGTAATATCGATATTGAAAACTTTTCAAAATAGTTATTACATTATATCTGTAATACTATTTCTCATCCCTTGCTGATACGTGCGAGCAGTTAAGGGTAATTTTTTTCATTTCATATAATTATCCACACAAAGTTTTAATACTATAAATGTTATATCATACCTTACTGTATTTTTATAAGTGGATTATACAAGTACTGACACGTAATGACGTAATGCGCGTTTTAAACAAATGAAAATGTGCTTTATTATAATAAACGCATTATACTACAAAAACTTTTATAATTTGTATCGTTAATTTTTTTTTTTTTACAATGGCGATTTTTGTCGAAAATAAATAACGGATTTTTAAAACCACGCTCAACATCACTACTTTATTAATTTATACCTAGAGTGAACCTATCCTATCTACAGTGATTGTACTTGGGTATAATATGAAGGACATAAGTCATCACTTCTGATGTCTATGTGCCTATTGTTAAATAGACAATATATTAAATTAAATTAAATTTGACTTTGACCAATTTTTTTACGTGTGTCTATGATTAACACGATCACATCATACTATTTTTATGTATTTCGCAACTGTTTAAGCTGGTAAATAATTCTATATTTAATAGGCACAGCTAATATTAAAATAATCGTCGCCAATAGGTTTTATCAGAAGTGCGATTTATATACGTACATGGGTCAGTAGTGAAACTACTCATCTTGTTTAAAAAGAAGAGAGGGCAAATTAAAAAAAAATATATTTATATGATATAGTCATAGTTATATATTATAATAAATTTATGAGATATTTGTATTATGTGACATTATATTAGAAGAAAATGTGTATTAATTTTAATATTATAAACCATTTATTTTATAATAAAGAATAAACAATTATAAAATATAAGAATTATGTAAAAAAAACGCAAGTTTTTTTTTATGCACAGTTTTGCGTGAATTGCAATATAAGTTCTCTCTTTTGTTTGACTTTTGCACGCGGCTTATACGCAATAAAGTTAAAAAGATGTTGAGATAGAATTCGCGTTTGTTTTTATTTATTCTGGCGTCATTTCCGCGTTCAAGAAACTCCAGTAATTTACTTAACCTACAATGCTGAAACAACACTTCGCGCGCAATGTTCGCAACCAATTTGTATACAGTCCGTCAATATTGAAACACAAAATGAAATAAACCACATATATACGTATATATTTTAGTAAACGGTAATAACATATTATATTAAAATGATGAATTAAAATATGTTCGTCAATGAAAATTGAAAATTGGCCGTCTCGCACATTTAACGGCACAACGATAATAATGTTTGTATGTATAGCAAACTTTGAGACTTTGTCTAACAAATATTTTATTACCGTCTGTCGACTAAATCATTCACGGTTTAGAGGGCGTAAAATAAATTAAATAAATAGACACGACGACTACAGCGTAATAAACAAGAAATTCTATAACAGCTTATGTCTTGTTTTTCGTTTTATACGGTTATTGGTAGGTACCATTTAAACAACGGAAAACGATAAAAGAAAATAATAATTATGAAAAGTTTGTTTTTGTTTACTAAGATTTCTTTTAAGAATCGTAACATAACAAAAGAAAACGGCGGGAACTGTAAACTGTTTACACGAACGCTACAGACTTTTGAACGTCTCACTGGCCGGAAAATATTTTCTCTTGATATTTTTTTTTCTTTTTACTCGTTCATTTTTTTCATATTCTCCTTTAGCGTGCACCACAGCTTTTGTTAACCGTTTCGTTCGGTTTACACGAAGATCGTCTCTTTTCATACATCAACACGTGTGAATTTACGCTTTTTTTTTTTTGCGAAACACCATAACAACCGCTACAACGACCCGTAACATGTTTTTTCGCGATGTTTATTTTTATTGCTTGTTTTTTTTTCGCAATTTAATATTCGTCTTTTAATAGTTGTACCGTTGTTATCGTCGTACACAAACGATTATAAACACAATCACGTCGCGGTACTTTTCGCTTTTGCTGGTCGAAAGTTATTTAAAAAAATAATGAAGATCGTATAACAGGAATACTTATTATGATAATATTCCATACTCGCGTATGATTTATGTGTATTCAGGACGCCCAGCCACTCCAGCAGATCGCGCGGGGTTGATTTTTACGCATCGTACGCGGTACTGAAGTAATATTTAAATTCGAAAACAAATATCAGTGGGTGGTCAATAATTTGCAATTTAATGACTTCTCAGACTCTTTTTGTGCCACAACTCTTTTTTCACATACAACCCTTCTAGTCACATGTAATAACATAGTCGTGTTCCAACGATGACTCTTTGAAACCGTCAATTTACTGTAGTAAAATCAATTTCTTATACGTGTTAATATAACTGCATATATAAAATTTAAATGCATAAGTAATAAAAAAAATAGTTCCTTATTCACCACCGGACCCGAACTCTGTATTGTGTATTATATTTTAACCTAATCGTAAAGAAAAAGTAGTTTACAGTGAAATTTCCATGCAACAAATTTTCATTTAACAAAATAATTTCTATAATCATAAACTAATTTGTGTAATTCTACAAATTTTATTTAAAGAATTTATTTTTATCCATTATTTATCAGGCTTTGTAATACAAAGGTTTCATTTAAATTTAAATGAACTATGTCGCCAATATCAACACTGATGCTGGAGTATTCGCGATGGTCAAGTTAAGATAAAAAACTATGTAAAGAAATATAAACTAATAGCAGAGAGATCCAGGGAAAGAAGAAATGGAAGATAAAGATAGCATACAACTTATATCATGTATAACTATTTATAAAATGAGAGAAAGAAAAAAGTTCAAGAACAAATATAACAAAATTTTTTATAAAACTCCAACATACGCTTTACGTTTAATGTCTTATCACGTGCAGAGATATTGGCCATCTTTTTCTTTAACACTATAGACAACTTTATTAGCTGAGTTTGAGAGACTTGCAGTCTCGTATATACTATATATATATATTAATTTAAGTTAAAAATATTTGATAAGAGTTTGCCCAGTGTAATTAAACTGTGTATTATTATTATCGAAATTAGATTATAATATATTGTATTAAATTACGTTGGAAACTCATCTATGTACGGGGTTTACAATCGTGTACCGCATTTTTTTTTTTTAATAATATTATTTATAACCGCAGTAAAGAAAAATATCACTAGGACAAGTAAATAAAAAGTGCATCGAAAAATCAAATTTAAACAAAAAAACACACAGCTGTATATTTTAGTATATCCATACTATATATAATAATTGGTTTGACAAAAAAATTGTTATCATCAAAGGAATATCATTTTAAAACCTAATAAAATGTTTTATTACGTATAAACTGACAACTCGAGTCGCTGCAACACGTAGAAATTGCTGTTACGCTGTATATACTATATATACATTCATGTGTATTAGCACATTATGTATATATTATTGAGTTTAAGTTATACTATAGATCCAAACACCTATTTACTTCAGGCCGTTCAGGGTTATGGCCGATGCATTATTTATTAATAACAAAGCTTCGAATAAGATAAAATCCCGAGTAAAAAGATATATGTTTCATTGTTAGTTTTTCAATATATAATATGAGTACACCTGTTAGGTACCCAGAAAATGCATTTTGTTAATGAAAATATCGTATAATAGATTCTAGAAATTTAAAAAAATATGCAATACCGCGATACAACGGTATGATGTTTGTTTATAAAGTCCTGGTAGCACCGATAATAACAATAACAGTATACAATGCTAACACATCCATAACAATTATTATTATTTAATATGAATGAAAACCACGTTATACTGAGCAGGAGATCATTTAATAAGTCATTATTGATTTCATTATAATATACTATAACGATAAAAGAATAATGAAATATTCGTCAAGTCGCATTTATTGTATGTTATATACTTATATGTATATTATATTTATATATATCACTGTGGTGTGCCGTATTACATAAAATATGTATTTATGCCATATGCGTATTTTATCGTTCCTAAGTTTCATTTTAAAGTTTGCTACCGCTAGTAATGTTTAAGTATATGGCGTTTAATGCAAATTCAATTATCAAAATTTTATACCGAAAAATTACCATTGTGCTAAAGTTCTCCAATTTTATATACGATAATTTATAGTGATTATACTGATTTTCGGCATGAAACAAATTTAATTTGTTGTTTTAGTATTTCATAGAAAATCGAGAAAATATAGTTAATAATTTATTATCAATTGAATATTTTACAATACTTAAGTATTGATTCTCATACATGGAGAATATTGCAGAAAATAGTTAGGTAAATTCAGGAAAGAGTTCAGGTAGGGCCTACGTACATAGAGAAAGAGAGGACGATAAACATCATGTGATAGACACTCAGTTTTATGTATATATAAATATATTATGTTATATAAACAAATAATATACCTAATCTGAAAAACCATTCTAACCTTCTATAAATTTAAGTGAATAGCGTGCAAACAGAACTGGACTTACCTTTGACCGCGGTGAAGGTATGGATGACGGCGATTGTTGCGGAATACCTTTCCTCTGTCTGACCTGTGGCGACACTCTGCCTTCAGATGCTTGTGAGGCAAACGACTGCAGAAATGAGTTTTCCGCGGGCGGTGTCTCGGAAGACTGCCTCGCAGAATGCTGAAAACAAGCGGACACATGGACACATTAATATTATTATATTATATTATCAAATAGTATACGCAACCAACGTCTATCATTATGGTTAATGAACTTTTATTATTGTTATAATGTATTCAATATGATATAAACCTAAAAACGAGTTATAATCCATATACCGGGAAAATTAAAATTTTAAAACGTCGAGAAAAAAAATGTTTATGTTCGAAAAACAACACGACCCTGTGGTATAATTGTAACCGATTACAACGTTTATCATAATCGTGTCAGAGGTAAACAATAAATTGGTTCAGGAACGTAAAAATTCTAAAATACGTCTCAGAAAATATGAATAAAAAAAATTATGATTCATATAAATAGATAATATCGCTAATACTTGTTTCTAATACATAATATCATATTATTCCATACATACACACACACACACACATATATAATATGATTGTTTATACTCACGTCATTGGCGGTAGTAGAATCGGACGGTTGTGTGAGACCGCTTACCCTCAGCACTTCAGCGGTTTTCAGGAACGAGCTAAGGTTCCTTTGGTGAACGTTAACCTCCCCGTGATAGATGAACTCAACCAGTGCCTGCAAGTCGTCGAATACGACATCTTGCAACACGATCACGGGGTGTTTGCACGGCGTACTCTGCGCAAAAAAAAAGGACAAACGAAAATCATCGACTGTAATCATACCCCGTAATCGTACTATATTGACGTAGGTGGTATAATATAGATCATAGTTAAAATGCAACAAATTACGGCATGCAGACAAATTTTATCGAATCCGTAAACGAGAAATTAATTATTATTATTTTTTTATGGAGAAATAATTGAAAATTATTTTCATTTTATTCTTTGATTTTACTTTTAATTTTATGAATAAACGCGTTGATGCACACATTCAATTTTCATGGCTCTCAAAAACTTCCTAATATTCTAAAGAGGCTCTCCAAGAGTATTAATCGTTTATCCCTGTTGTGAATATTATAATATAGACTCACTTTCAACAGTTCCCGGAAATATGGGCTGCACGCAGACAGCACCACTCGGTGAGCTTTCAGACTCTTGCCATCGCATGCCAGTGTCACGTCAATGAAGTCTTCGTCATCCCTCAGGTTCTCGAACGCTGTGGTGATGCTGTTCTGGTAGTTATTCCAGCGCAGACAGAAATGCTGCAGGTCGCCCATCACGCGGTGGGCTTCGGTCGACACTGTCCCGCCTTTCAAGTTCAAAACAAACGTAAAAAAACGTGACGACGTTAGATAATTATATTGAGAATACAACTAATATTATCAAGTACGGCATTTTTTTTGCAGTAAATGTATGCGAAAATGTTTAGACAAAATACAATTTAAGTAGTATATGAATATGATAATTTTATATATTATGCGTGTTTTTCAAGTAAACAACAACTATGGCATATCTACTGTTTATTATTATAATATGCATAGGCGTGGCGATCAATAGAAATAGATGCCAAGGAAAAAAAGGAAACTGAAAAAAACAACCTAGCCAACGTATAATAATAATAGTTGTTAATAATTAATCGCTACCGTAAATAAGATCAATTCATCAATATTATAATACGCATAGAGGTTAACTATTAAATCATAATGTACCGGTGGTGACTGCGATATAAAAATCGACATTTCCTTCGAAAATCGGACCTCGGTTACAGTTATACGCAAACTATATTATATCATAAGTATTAAAACATAATTTCATATTAATAATATTATTCTGTTATTCTATCGGTAATATAATCATTTCGGCGGGCGTTAAAAGACAAAAGAAAAGTACACCGTCTTAATGTCGCAGGACGACGGGAGGAAATATTTTCCCGCGTATTTCTCTACTCGTCAGTTTGGTGCGAAATGTGGTGATAGCACTAACAGTAACAACAACAACAACAACAACAATAACAATAATAAACCCGCCGACAGCGACGACGACGTCAGGTAAACAACACGCGCGCGTTTCCCCAAATGAAATACGCGGAACACGCGTGCCGGCGGAGTGGCGCGTCGGGCGCGTGGTCGAGCGGAGGGGGTGGGTCATCTCCGAGACGGCCGTCACCGTCTCGCCCGCGTGGAGGAGCGTTGGCGGTCACGAGGCCGTCGGCTGGGGGGTCGGTGTGGGGGGGGGGGGGGGGGGGGGGGGGGGGGGGTGTTCACCCTCTTTTCGCGCGCGTTTCGTCCGTCGCCGATCGCATAATACGCACGCCGCACGGCGAACAGGTGGGCAAGGCAGCGATACCGTGTGGTCCGCGAGAGTGGACGAGCGGGCGGGCGCGCGAACGAGCGAACGCGTGTGAGTGTATACGTATACTACACGTTGCACGCACGGGCGGGGAGGCGGTGGCGGCGGCACAGGACAGGGGCGCCCATTCATACAACCGGCGGCCGGTGTTCGGCCACACACACGCGGCGTGTACACGCGTGCCACCGCCGACGCCGCACGCCGCGCTCTCACGCCCGACGACCACTACACGACCGCGACGGCTACGACTGCGAAGACGGCGACGAAATTCGCGTCCCGGCGAGCGCGATAAGTGCGCTGATAAACACGCGACTTTTGCCGCCAACCGTCGAGTACATTGCACCGCGGTGTAATACGAATGCACTCGAAACGATATTTTGTGTATAGCGCACAAGCGTGTCTACTGTGTACTGACGACTACGACTACGACTACGATTGTTTATGTTGCACTTGCACATTTATTACTTCGATCATAATAATATAATGATATTATTAACATTAAAATTAATATGTTTTATAGTCTGTTGAATTTTTGATTTTTCATTAGGTAAACGATTTTTATTTATTTAATATTGTATACTTAGTACGAAATAAAAAAAAAAAAACAAAAAAAAAAAAAATTTAAAAATTTAAAAAAATGTTGTTTAATATGCAACGTATCACTGCAACAAAAGTGTTGTGTTTTCGTACTACCGAGATGACTTACCTATATTATTGTCCGGTAGTCGAATGAGATCTCGTCATCGGTGACCGGTACACGGCCGCCGCCGCAGGCATGCGGAGAGTATACGACATGTATGCGATTAGTGCGGATATCGTAATTATTAGGTATACTATTAAATTTTTATGGTGCACTATGAGTTCACGGGGAGGAAAAAAAAATAATTACGTACGATAATTTGATTAATTAATTTTTTTCTATCAACAGTAATTAGTTAATTAATTAATTAATATATAAATTAGTATGTACGTATTAATTACGCGTGCGTGTAACTTCGTGATTGTCGCGTATAATTTTTTTTTTTAATTTTTAGTGTAAAATAATAATAGTAATATAACAATAATATTAATTGTTGTTGGTGATAATTATGATGGTGATCGTCGATGTCGCGAGTAGTGTGTAATATATGGTAGTGCGTGCGAATCGTGTGCGTGCCCGCGGCGGTTGCGACGGAGATGATGCGGTTGACGAGAGCCCGCGCGGCGGAACTATAGACAACTCAAAAACATGACTAGCAATAAACTACTAGGGGGTAAAAACCGAGAAAGTAAAATTGCATATTCGTACAGTTTAATGAGAGAGAGTGGGTCCCCCATCGGTAGCCTTGTTCAGTTACGTATTGCTGTTAGTAATATTACGCGTGCGTGTAACTCGTGATTAGTCGCGTATAATTTTTAATTTTGGTGTAAAATAATAATAATATAAATATTGTGTTGGTGATAATTATGTGGTGATCGTCGATGTCGGGTAGTGTGTAATATATGGTAGTGCGTGCGAATCGTGTGCGTGCCCGCGGCGGTTGCGACGAGATGATGCGGTTGACGAGCCGCGCGGCGACTACTGAACAGACTCAAAACTGCATGCAAAAACTACTGGGGTAAAAACCGAGAAGTAAATTGCTGTCGTACAGTTTAATGAGAAAGTGGTCCCCATCCACCGGCTACCGGCCTGGTCCGCCCACCGCTCCGCCGCGGCCCGGCACTCCGCGCCGCGCGCGGCGATTTAACCGGGTTCGCACCGCGTCCGCCTCGCATCGCCTGCCACGGGGCTCGGACGCGGGGAGACGGCAACCTTGATAAGGAGCAGAGCGCGCCGGCGACGGGCGACAATGGGTGATGCGGCGCGCGCTCGGTGAGAGTGTATGCGGCAGGCGTAGGGGATAAGCAAGAAAAATCATTAAATTCGTCGCGCGCCCTACGCCTGGCACGCCCTGATGCCGCCACCGCCCGCCGCGCAACCCCCGCTAGGCGGCCGCGCTGTGCGCGCTCAAAGTATAATTGCTAACCTCTACTATAAATAAGTGCATTATTCAACTTTCATTCCGTTTGGTCCCCACTCGCACAGGATCCCCAGGAATCCCTCCGACCGCCCGCACCCCCTCCCGC